CAAGAGCGGGTAAGAAATTAAGATGAATAGGTTAATAATTACAATATTTCTAATAATAGAATATTAGTAATGATGATCATATAATAATAGTGACAATGATACGTAATAATAGTAAATACTATAGTGTTTACTCCGTATTTAATACGTACTCCGTATAGAATAGAATAAGCAACAATTTTCATGAAATACCAAACATTCAATATATGTGGTGCAGCTGAATTCTCAAGGGTTATCGTCCGCAGTAGCCTTTGTCCTTAATCAACTTTGTTGTTTTTATTTTCCACATACACGAAGATGTTCGTCCCACATCGGTAAAGAGTGGAAACATTCCTCCTTCCAACACTGTATATATAAGAGGCACCCGGACGGGAAAAAGGCGTTCTATCACCATCTCTTCCTTGCACGGAAGAGAAGCTAAATATGGATTCTTCAAAACCTCCATCCGTTCCTCGCCTTTCCGATCCATATTATCCACATTCGGTTCCAATCCCGATAGATGCAGCAACTGATCAAGACCTCAAACGCGCTAAATAAAAAGGCATTGGAATATTCGAAACCACTATGTTGCACCTAGAGATCCACCAATATTGGTTCCAATTCTGAGAGAGGGACCAATTAATCAAGACATCAAATGCACTGAACTGGCATTGGAATATTATAACAAGAAAAACGGGAAGAAGAAAAGGTATGAACTTGTGGAGGCCGGGTTTAGTAGTCTTTTTGTATCGTGCATGTGGGATTGAGAAGGCCATGTGGGAATGAGAAGGGCCCCACCAAGTTCTTCTTTGGAAGAAGAGTTGTTACTGCCTCTCGTATTTTAAGAGGTAAAGGCACCGGTGGTTGTAAGTTTTGCTACTATATTATTGCTCATCCTACCCATGGATTTCGTATGGGCCTCTACCGTGATAACTGATAAACTTCGTGCATTGCGTTCCAATAAGGAAGAAGTTTGGTTGATGATGGCTCTAGATATAGCCATGTCTGATTTCTGGGATGGTGCTGCTAGCAAGGGATTTTTCTGAATGTTTTTTGTTTTGAATGCAGAAGTTTCTTTGTTTTTTTAATTTGGAAAGTTAGCAATGACCTCTCAACTTCGAAGTTTGATTATCACTCAAATCCTTGCACTATAAAAAATGCACTCTCACAGTCTCACCTCTTACCTATCTTTTATATACATAGTTTCTTAACTTTTGATTGTCCATATTAAAGACCTTTCCACCCGAATCTATACCTAGTAAAACATAAAAAATTATCAAAATGGACATCATTTAAAAAGTTTGACCAAAAGATCCATGATTTAATAAAATTAAAAGTGAACAGAATAAAAAATTATGGAACTATATCTATAATTTTCTCTAAATATAAATGAAAAATTACTTAAACATCATTAAAAGATAAAGCGGATAAGAGTACATGTTTTATTGTGCAGGGGTATATGTGTGTTACGTATTATAATACACTAAATCTCAAGGGAGATTAATGATAATTTTCCTTTAACTTTTGTTCCATGGGGTGTTGATGACGTCAATCACTCTTTGAAAGGTTCTTGCTCTAAAATGAAACTAGAGAAATAATATATGTGATGTGTACTATTTAGTAGTGCATAAACACCACATTTTAGAATGGTTTTACATTATGTTTACTTAGCTTTTGTACAATTACGGTGTAATCTTTATCTTCTAAAATTAAAGTAGAATTAGAAGATATTAAGATATTTTGACATGTAAGCAAAAACATGATGAAAAGAAGAGGAAGGAGTTTGAGAGCATAAGGAAGGAGCATTGGAGACAAGAGGAAGCTTCACGGAGAACAAAGAAATGTGAAAAATCGGATATGATTTGACCCGGAGATAATAAGAGATCAAATAAAGCAAGTGAACATGGGAAAATCAGATTATGTCTTAGACCCAACCACCTCACTTCTCCTATAAAAACACCCCTTTCCTTCCTATTTTAGATACCAATTTAATCCCCTCTTTCACATACACTTTATTCTTGTAATTTAGGTAGTCTTTCCATCTTGGTTTTGCTACTTTGAAGCTTAATGAATTTGTAAGTTGTGAGTTATTATCTTTAATCTTCTTCCTTGAATATTAATTCTTTCTTTAAATACTATTTCTATATCAATGTTGAGGAGTGTTACTAAGATAACAATTAGTTAACATCTTGACATTAGTTATAGTAATAGTTATTTCTTCCTCTACGTTAATATCGGAGAGTGTTACTAAGATGACAATTAGTTAACATCTTGATATTAACTATAGTAGGATTCATCTTCTTTAATATTCTTCCTTGAGTATTAATTAATTCCTATTCATATTTCATATTAATATTTTGAACATTACTTAAAGGATCAACTAGTTTTGTTTCATATATTAATTATTACTAGAATCGGTCGATTAATACGCTTGTTATTAATTCGGTCCTTTCGCGGTAGTAAACTTGGGTTATTAATGCATGCGTTTCATGGTTAATAAACCAAGGGGAATTAATTATATTGATTAAACCAATAAACCGCTTGTGTTGAGGTTATCAATCTCAATCGTTTTCATCTTGATTTTATTGCTACTATCGAGTGAATATACGGCGCGTGTTCTATATTAACTCGGTAGTAAGTTTTATTAATGAACGCGTCTCGTTATTAATAACTACCCTCGATGAATTGGATATACTCCTCGATTGAGTATTCGAGAGGAAGATAGTTAAAGATATAACCGGGATCGACGAACATTTCATTAAGTGGATAAAAGCAAAGCCAAATCTTCGTCTCATTAATTAAACCACATAACTCGTTCATCTTCGTATCTAAATATAATTTAAAGTTCATCAACCAAATATAAACCCCCCTTATTGTTACTTATCTATTTCTGTAAGAAGAAAAGTATTCATTTCCCTGTGGATACGAACCTTACTACACTATACTACGTATTAGTGTCGTATTGTATTATTACTTTGAGTGCACCTCACGACAAAGTGCACGTCAATATGCAAGTGTAGCTCAACATGTGGGAATAATGTCACAAAGGACCTATTTTGCTAGTTTGTTGAGGCTATAAAGTGTTTAGTGATTTACATTTTAGACAAGACATGTTTATTTATTTAAACAAATTTACCTTATCATGAGGAACAATATGTTAGTAGATCACTTAGAGTGTTACGTATTGGCAGCTCGAAGGATTTTTTGAAGTAAAAAAAATAGAGAAGTATAATGATATTCAACGTATTAGATTTTTTCAAGTTAAAAAAAAATATAGGGTAACTTCCCGAAATAGGAGCAAAACAGTTTGAAAATTCCAAAATAGGACTGTCATGTTTTTATTCCTAAAATAGGAGTAATTACTACCAAGTTTGGAAAATACTGTCATGTTTGAAGTCTGATACTGCCAAAACATGACAGTAATTAGTTCTATTTTGAGAATGAAAATATGACAGTCCTATTTTTGGAATTTTCAAACTTTTTTAGTCCCATTTCGAGTAATATCTCAAAAATATAACGTTTTCGTTATATTCAATGTAAATTTCCCTTTATGATACGAAGTATTAGATTAAATTCTAGCACTGTTTGATGCAGGCATGTCCATGATGTGTCCAAAGAAAAGCATGTTTCTTTTTTACACAATAAAGCCATAAAGGCATCCTTAAGTTTTTGGAGAGGATCACAATAGTAATCTATACTTTTATGGGTTCTACGATAATAATTTGTACTAGCAATAGTGTCCACAAGAATAACTTAGAGTAAATACACACTAATGCACATTTAATACTCTTAACCCCTATATCCATTTTCTCATTCATCACTCCAAAAATTTTATGGAGCCATATGTGACTCTCTTATGGAGTCACATAGGCTATTGTGGCATCACCACAACCACACATTATTTTATTGAGGATCCCCACTAAAATAATGTGTGGTAGTGGTGATGTCACAATAGCCTATGTGACTCCATAAGAGAGTCACATATGGCTCCATAAAATTACTCAGGGACACTCTTCGTCTCAGTTAACGTTTTTATGTTCCAACCTAGAGAGAAACACACATGGCGGAAAGAGAACAGTGAGAGTAAGGGTTGACACTATTAAACAGACATTAATTTGTATTCACCCCAACTTATTTTTATGACACCATTTGATGGAGTATATGGCCTAGGGACCCCCGACACAGACTCATACTTCTCCAACACAGGCTCAATAAGCCCAGGAAGCACATGAGAGGCTCAAACACGGTGGCCTAAGCTTAAAAAGAACCCACAGTACGCATACGGATGCCTTCGGCACCATGACTGAGGGCTCCAAACTCCAGCAGACATCTGGATCTGGACCTGCGAAGCTTCTGGGGGACTTTGGCTAAACCAGTAGCCTTCGGCCAAAAGGAAGCCTTCGGCCAAAAGGAAGCCTTCGGCACATATGTGGAGCCTTCGCCCATGTATGACTAGGCCGAAGGGTCACCACTCTCAGCAAAGATTCCCTCTGTAGACAGGCAACCACCGCATTCAATGCGGCGTCACGTCCAACCACCACATTTAATGTAGTACACATGCAATTGCTTGTGCCACCCCGATCGAGATGACCCTCAGCCGTCGGATGGTTGACATGTGTACGCGCATAGCATGTATGGTTGCTATAAATAGCAGCTCATTTCCCCTTGTAAAACATCATGAGTTCATTTAATATATTTGACACTCTCTCTTACTTGTTTGCTCTGACTTCTCTCTAGATATTTCTAGTGATATCCCTTGAATAAGCTACCCCTGAATACACTATCCATCACCATTGTTAGTTCGGATTATTTTTGTGGATACTCTAAGTAAAGATTATTATTATAGAACTCCTAAAAATATGAATTTTTCACATCATATTTGCGTGTTGGAGCTTTGGATGTTTAAAGCCATGTAAGTAAAAGTCATTCGACTGAAATTACTAAATGTGTTGGGTTTTTAACGTGGTGTGTAGTAAAACCAATTTGAAGTAGTCATTAAAAAAGAGGCTGGGTAAATCGAAAGTAAGTTGTTCTCATAAAAAATTAGAATAAGCAAAATAATGCTACCAAATTCCAACAAGACCAAACAAATTATACTCGTAAGATTCTGTGTTACAACTTACAAGTGGCTATGATTCTATATTTCTATGAATGAGGCAAAATAAAAAAAAAAAAATAGGAGAGTCTTGACTACTATTACAACAAAGGAAAAAAGGACTCCAATCCTTGCCCAATTTCCCATATTGAGATGCCAACATCCCAGGAGAGAGCCGCCTCAAGCCGCATTACTAGTGACAAGAACGACGGGTAGAATACGACGTGTCTGGCATGTTGATCATCAGTGTACACGAAGAAATGCTCCCCGCTGGTGTTTTCCCACTCCAATGCCGGCTTGTGCTTCTCCAACAATGACACATACTCATGTGCTATAATAGGCCCGCCCCCTAATCCTGCAAACGAATTACATGTCTCATTGCCATGAGAATCAGAAGTCCAGAAGTAACCTTCAGCATAATAAGGGAAGGTGACACACACACACTTAACTTTAAGGGCAATTTTATCAAATCTAATTGAGCTTATTTAGACTACTAATAAGGAAATGGGCGAAGAAACGATACCATCAGAGGAAGATTTAGGGAATATTCCGGAAGTAGCCTTCCTGAGAATGGGAGGGTGACTCATGCACTCTCACTTAAAAGGCGTTTTTGTCAAAACTGGCCCAAACTTATTTGGTCAAGTAAAGATATGGACAAAGAAAACTCATAAAAACATCCCGGGAATGTCAGAATTACCCTAGAAGAATCAGGGAGAGTGACTCACAGACTCTCAATTAAAGAGGGCTTTAAGTCAAATCCATATTACTCCCTGAAACCTTTTCAGAACCATTAAGGCTTTGTTTGGAATTTGGATCCTAGAAAATACTTGGGAAAGGAAAGAAAATGACAAGGAAAACTATTTTCATATGTTTGGTAATAGCATGGACAATGCAAAGAAAAATAAAAGGCTAAAGGGTCAAATAGGCCCTTGAACCGACTTAAAGTGTTCAATTAGTCCCTTATATTGGAGGTTCTGCCCGGCCGTCGCTAATTGGGGCGGTTCGCGGTGAAATTTTTTGATGAAATTTTTTGGGCATCTTCTTCATTAAGTCTAGTTTACTCATATCAAATTTCAGCTAAAAATTCAACCGGGAAGGCAGTTAAATGATTTTCCGAAATGTATTGCGCTGTTTAACTTCACAGTTATCTTCAAAAAATCATTTGACTGCCTTCCCGGTTGAATTTTTAGCTGAGATTTGGTATGGGTAAACTACACTTAATGAAGAAGATGCTCAAAATATTTCATCAAAAAATTCCACCGGGAACCGCCCCAATTGGTGACGGCCGGGCAGAACCTCCTATATAAGGGGCTAATTGAACACTTTAAGTCAGTTCAAGGGCCTATTTGACCCTTTAGCCAAAATAAAATATGATAAATGTATTTTCTTATGTTTGGTATACGTTTGGAATGCTTAGTATTTATATGATAGCAACAAATAAAAAGAATGACTTCGAAAAAATAATAGAAATATAATAATTGAATTTTAAAAATGCTTTATTTTCCTTAACATTTTCTTTCCTAGCAGATTTCTTTAATCTAATATACTAATCCTCCCTGTTTACTTCGCCTAGCATTTTCCGTTTTCCCGCATTCCAAATGGACCCTAAATGCACATCACATAATTGTAATTGGATGGGACATTAATATACCTCCTGAAATGACAAAATCATTTCCGTAGAAATTGATACCAAGAAATATCTTTCTAGCCAAACTATGATCGAGACCTACACGACCACCAAGAAGGAGCTGCAACGTAGAGTGTATCCAATTAAGTGGTGCATTTGGGCCTGGATTTTGGGGTCCTGAGAAGTCATAAGTCATAAGAGAGAAACCATCCACAGCATCACCCAAACTTTGTAAATCATTGGTCCCAAAATCACGATCCTGCAGCTTATCGGAACGTGGTGGGCCTATCACATAAACTAACTCCAGTGTTTTCTTCTTGTTTCTTTCCAACCTTACAGAACGCATGGCTTCCCCAAGCTGTCGTATAAACTGCAATGCCTGTCAAATGAAGAGTCATCAGAATCGCTGAAGAAACTTTGACTTATAAGTCAAAATGAGACATGCTAAATAAATGGCATAACCCTTTAACTTCTAGTTTCTTTAACATTTGGAAGAAAAGTGAACAATGGTGATAATCTTTAGATGGATATAAGAATAATTAGTCCAAAAATATAACAGAATCATACACTACAGTATGCAATGTCCAATGCTTTAGTGCTTTACCATATTCCGTATATCAGGATCATCCAACACACCATAAGCTGCCCACCTTGACCAGGACTCAAGAACAATACCATCATACTCCATTTCCCTTCATAATACGGAAGGGTCTCAAATAAATGCTTTCAGGGAAACAAGAATAATTTGAAATCATTTAAGCTATGTTTGGTAACTGGAAAATGGAAGGGATAGAAGAAGAAGAAAAAGAAGAAGAAGATGATGATGATGATGATGATGATGATGATGCTAAAAAAGGGCAGCCCGGTGCACAAAGACATCCCCACAAGGAGAGGGTCCGGGGAAGGGTCCCACCACTAGGGTGTATAAGGGGCAAGACTTCCTAAATCAAATTTTGACAAGAGGCCGCTCCCTAGACTCGAAGCCGTGATCTTTTGGTCACACGTCAACACTTTAACCGGTGCGACAAGGCTCCCCTTCCAGGAGAAGAAACTTGTAATTTTATGTTTGGTTTACTTATAAAGTTCAAAATAAAATTTTATTTGATTATGCATTTTTCAATATTTTAGTTGCATTTAAATTTATCAGACTTTTCAGAATTTTTTTTATAAAAATGTATGTGTACATAATTACATGTGTGTACATGTATTTGAGCGATGATATATGGATGATTTATTAAGTTTGAACCAATTATAATTCAACCCAGACTTTATTTACTTCCAAATTTTCCCTCTATTTTCCTTATATTCTTCCCCTAACATTGTACATGTTCGAAACTGACCCTACAAATAAAAAGAAAAAAAAGCATACCAGCATATGAATTTAATTCCGAATGATGGGAGTATGGGACAACTATTTCTAACTCATAACAGTTGTTGATACAATAGTACCAAAATCAAAACTTACTTGCACTCTGCAATAATAATTCTTATAGCTTTATCCCTCTTTTTCTTCCTCTTAAGAAGATCCATGGGGATAGCTTCAAGAACAACTCTGGGTAAAATCTAGAACAATGAAGATAGAAAAGCAATATTAGCACTTTATGTTATGGCAGCCTCAATAGACTTTGGACAATCATGATATTTGTATTCGGCGCAATGCTGCTAAAAATTGAAATTTTGGAAGCAGTTTTACGTTGTACCAGAGCATCTCCTTTCTTGTGAATGTCCGAAATCCATTCTTTATCTGCATTATGCCTTCCATCAAGAACTAAGTTGCCCCCTTCACTATATTCAGACGCATAGTTGACTTATGAGAGAGTAAATCAGTCACACTATAAGTCTATAATTTTAAATAAGACAAAGAGTACCATGCAGTGTGCACACCACCTTAACAAGTACAGACGTACAGTCTATCTCAAACCAACATAACTAAATAAGGGTTTGTATTGTTGCATCGGCTTGAGATGGTTAATGTAGATAGGCCTGTTATGGGTGGGTCTAGACTTGTAAGTTCCGACCCCTACCAGGCCCATTGGCAGGCCTAGATGTAACTAATATTATCGATTATCTAAAAACCTGAAACAGCATGATGTGGCTATGAAGCAATGTTGTGATTCATAATGTGAGTTCTTTACCTTTTAAGTTGATACCAAACAGGTGACAGATGTGTAAATTTGGAGGAGAACTTCTTTGCCAGGTGGTAACCTTTTGAATTCCTGCACCATTATTCATGGAAACAACCCATCAAGTATTGTTTGGTCAGAGGCCAGGGTTGTAACTTGTTTAATTACACAAAAGTTGGAGATTTCCCTCCCCTCATAACCTTCCTCTCTATCTCCACACACATGCTCAGCCATGATTGTAGTTGTTAATTCATTTATCGTAACAAGAATTGCCCTTATTACATGTATAAAAGACTCTGCTCTGTATTCTAAATTCTCCAAATGATTAATATTAAAACTCATTCCCTCTCCATCCCTCCCAGACATTGAACCAAATACAATATCACGAGAGAGCGCCTCTAGGAGTCCTAGGACCAAAATCTAAGAACTAAAGTTTAAGAATAACCCAACAAATCGGAATAACTAGCTAAAAGAGCTAGTTATAGGTGTGAAAGGAATAACTTTCTGTATCAGGTGTTGAGCATCATGTGGTTTCACGGCATTAATGATATATTCCAAAGTGACTCGCAAGTTTGAATACTGTCCAAATCATAGTGGGCATTATTGTTGATGCTATGTACAGATTAGGGTGATTGCAAAAAAACTTTTACATATGGTAGGCTGTAGGCAATCTAAACTGCTTAGTATATTTTATTCTTTATTTAATGCTAAAATGCTACCACAAAAAGGGAGCAAATTCTTTTACAATTCTATTCAAAAGAAATTATCTTTTTGTAATAACTCAACTCGATGTCCTAGCCAGCATACTACAAGTCTATAACTGTTTATTTCTAAAAACTTGAAAGGCATACTTTATGCAAAGCAGAAACTGATGTCTTACTAGTTACTACAGTGACTATACACTCCACACAGTTATATCATCATTAACTTTCCTGCAAGAACAATGCAAGAGGTTCCGGGATTCAAAGCATTCAAATTGCAGAATATGAAATTACCAGGGCGTGATATAAGCCAGTACAGGATTCTGAAAATGACGACGTGTTTTGGTTGAATCTTCTTCATCTACTTCAAAATTCGCCTGGAATTCTTAAAATTAACCCAACGAAACCCTCATAAATATTCCAAAATGTGATTTTTTGGTTAACATGGCAGGGCTGGAAATCTGGAATGAGAAGAGGGAAACTACATACAGTGAGCACTTCGTCGTAATTCAAATCAGTCTTGACCAAGCCGTGCTGAAAAAGGTATGGTTTGTGAGAATGAACCACAGTGGCCGGAGAGTATATTTTTCGATATGCGATAGCAGATATGGCCACACATATAATAGAGAAAAGGATGTAGAGAGAGGGGAGCTCCCGGCCTCTTTTCTTCGCGGGATAATTTACTGGACCGCTCTGGTTTCCCGAAGAGGCAGCCCGATCATTCCGCCGGGGACCTGATCGTCGATTTTGGGTTTTTGACATTTATGCTATTATATCAGTAGATTAGGCATTCGCCGCACGGCGCACCTTCCCGAAATACACCGGCCAAACTGATGCATTCAACCGACGTTAATTTGGTCAAAACAAGATCCGCCGCTAACCAAGACCCCCTTAGGGAGTGTTTGCAATTGCATAATAAAAGTTGGGAAAAGTGATTTTTTAAAGTGATTTTGGGAAAAGTGATTAATAGTAAAAGTTGGTAGTGTTTGAAGAAAAAGTGATTCTGAAAAAGTAAAAGTTGGTAGTGTTTGATAAAAGAAGTACTTTTTGTGTAATAGAAAAAGTGAAAAGCAGTTTAAAGCACCCTTCCACCTGCTTCCAGCTTTTAGCTTTTAAGTGATTAATTTAAGCAGAAGCTGTCATTTGAAAACACTTTTTTTAACTTTTTTTAAGCCAAAAGCTGAAAAGCACTTTTTTAATCAAATGCAAACACTCCCTTACTCATTTACACTCACATAACTTATTGAAAAAAAAAAAGATTGACACCTATGTAAATTGGTCTATAATCACAATCTGACAGATAGAGAGTGGGGCCCTCTCTCCGATACTTCCAGAGGCCCTATGCATTTTTAGCATTGTAACCTCTCATCGCAGTTGCCGGGATTCGAACCTGAGATCTAACCCTTGTGACACTCTCTCGCTACCAGTTGAGCTACGCCATGTTTTACTTTCATTTCAGTATTTATTTAATCTTTTATTGTCTCATTTGAGTACTACAATCTTTTAATACTCAAGAACAATTCTGGAAAGTCTACTTTATTTTCTATTCTAACTTAAAACTTGTGAAGTCAAACCCAAAACTTAATTTCTTGATGGAGAGAATATAAAAAAAAACATATTTTCATTAAACACTCTACTTTTATTTTCTTCAAGATCTCTTTTCTTTTCAAATACTATCGTCTTTTATTGTTAACACTAGGAAAAATGTTTCACTGTTACTTTTTTGGTAAAATTTCCTGTTACTGTTTTACTGCTATATCTTCTCCTAAATGTTGGACATGAAGTTTTTCCATTTAAAGGTTTCCTCATACGGAGTATAACTTTGTCTTATTTTTCATACTTTGAATTTTTACTGTACACAAAAAATGTGTGTATTAATACCTCCATGTTCTTGTTAGAGAAATACTTCAACATACTATCTATTGCTTTCTCTTTCTTCTTTAGACTCTCCACCTTTCCACTTTCTCTCACTCCATCTCGTTCACTTCTTTGCCCAAAATTTTGTTGGCATTCAGCTTCAAAGTTCAAAGAGGTGCTTTCATATTTAATAGGGAAAACTATCAAATAAAGCCCCCGTACTATACCGAAAATGTCGATTAGGCCCTCGTACTTTACAAACACTCAATTAAGTCCTCGAACTATTAAAAAACATTCAATTAAACCCTTTCGGTAGGTAAGTAACCGGTTTCCGAGTTAAATGTAACTCGTTTCCCGGCAGCCGCCGTTGCTGGGGTTCGAGCACATCGTCGCCGTCGTCGCCATTTAACCGGGAAGCCGGTTACTTACCGACCAAAAAGGGCTTAATTGAACGTTTTTAATGGTTCGAGAACTTAATTGAGTGTTTGTAAAGTACAAGGGTCTAATCGACTTTTTCGACATAGTACGGGGCTTATTTGATAGTTTACCCTATTTAATAGGGTATTAAGAACTCCTTATCCTTTCCCTTCATTCAAAGCCGCTGCGAAGTAAACCATTCTCCTTCAAAACAAACTGCGAGACACAATCTTTGAACTCTTTCTCCTTACTTAGGGTCTGTTTGCAACAGCTCCTGCTTTAAAAAAAGTGCTTTTTTAAATGAAATGGGGAGAGATTATTAAATAAAAGTTGATAGTGTTTGAGAAAAAAATGATTTTGAAAAGTAAAAGTTGGTGGTGTTTGATAAAATAAGTGTTTTTTGTGTAATAGAAAAAGTAAAAGCACTTTTGACACGAAAGCCGAGAAAAATAAAAGTTGTAGTATTTGGTAAAAGAAGTGCTTTTTTTAAAGTCAAAAGTCGAGAAGTGCTTTTTTAAAAGCGTTAGCAAACCAACCCTTAATAGGCTGCCGCAATATCAACTCCAATTAAACTAAATTAAGGCTTTTTGTTCATACCGAGGAGAGGAATGCAATGAATGGAAGAAGAGCTTATCCTTCCTATGAAGGGTCTATATTAGATTGTTGAAGCAGCTTGGCATGCCTCATTAACAAGGACTCCTGTGAAATTTTTAATGTAACAGATGGCTTGGGAATTGGGATAAGTATGTAATAGGAATACTTTTGCCATCAAGAAAATGTACTAGACCCAAAGAACCATCAACAAATTACTTTGGTTATGATTCTGATAAATTTATTTTTTGGATCCACCACTGTTTGTTAGCCAATTTGCCATTCACTCAGGATTTATTATGTGTATGAGTATGTACAGCTTTGTGTGAAAATGTGATGAACTAAAGTATAAAGGCACGTTTATGGTCAAAGTTATCCTTCACAAAATGGCAACAGATAGGAAAATTTATCTTAGGCAAGGTTACCATCACAGGTCAATTATTTACTTAATCAAAGTAGGGTGACCTGGAGAAGATAATATCATAATAGAGGAAGTTTACTAAAACATGCATGCAGTAGGTACAGCATATTTATTGCTTTGCTTTGCTTCAACATACATGTTCCAAAGCAGCATATTTTATATTTACAGATACTAAAGATTATTTAACTATCCTAACTATAACAAAAAGCAAATCAACCCCCACCCCAATAACAGTCCTAGCTAGCTAGAGGAAATATGCATAGATGAGAAAGTGGACTGCTTCAAGCAATCTCTCCAATCCCAAGCATTATGGGACCCTTTACCCGGTACACAAAACAAAAAGCTGAAGTTCAGCCCCATCTACTCTGCACCGCTATCCTCTCGGAGACATCGGCCAGAGCTTTGAGGTTACAATTGATAAGGGCATTGACGAAGTAACAGGTTTCCTCTCGTGTGTTCCCTTCCGGCACATCAACCAAGAACGACTCGATCACCAGCGTTCCTGGCCTCCCGTCAATCATCTCCGGATGCAGCGTAATGACCGATGAGTAGTTCTGCAAACAAAAAGCAGTTTATATACTATACACTTGCAACACATACTTGCATTCCACCCGGTCAAACTAATTAGGCTTAGTGAAGTGTTCAGCTTAATCAAATCTATCTGTAGTAAATAAAACATAGATCAGTATACTTCACTCACTCTTCCTCAGGTTGATCTTTTGGAATAAAACTCAAATATGAAGTAGTTTATATGGCATTATAGCTAATTAAGCTGTCTAAATTAAAAACATGAGAATTTCAAGATTGGCTACATCAGTTAATTATCAATAACTCAACTTACAAAATGAATGATTCCCTTATGAGGTCAACCTTTAAGAGCTAAACTACAAGTCTTATCATGATATCGGTCTGATTGTCATTTGGTTTGAAACTGAACCCGTGACTGAAAGAACTCAATATAACTTAAAAAATGTGCTCTTAAAGAGTTCAATTGTGGCTGCTACCTCCAACAAATAGGATATGTTAGATACTTAGTTTTCAAAGAAAGCTAGTCTTTTTTGTGGTGAGAGTGAGAGGGAGAGAGAGATTGGCTGCACAGACAAAAACAACTTTGATTTAAGGTAGCTTGTTTAGGATGGCTCATTTACGCAACTTGAAGTTGACCAATTCAGTTTAGGCTAAAGAAGCGTTTCAAACCCTCCTATCAAGATAATCTTTTATGAAAAAACCTAATGTCTTTCATACTCCAAATAAAAACCCAAATAAATAAACCAAGTTTTAATCATAGTTGCTATGAATCCTTGATCCCAAATAATAAGTAAATTTATACCTTTAGGCGGTGATCACCTCCAACTATCTTGATTCCAAGAATATGTTCACTATCATCAAGAAGTTCCAACATTTCAGTGCTGGTGGTGGCTGGAAGTCCTGACTTGACGTTTACCTCTCTGAGACTCCCAATTGCAACACCATTCACCCTACACCTGCTGACGAATGGCTTATACTTCTGTGGCTCATCAAACCTCCTCACCAATGACCAAACCTATGTACCACCCAAAATGCAAACACAATAAACCACCAATATAAAACCTTTTATCTCCTTATTACCACACAATAATCAAAATTACAGCCCCATACTAATTAACCGTGTAGCTCATATTAGCCCCTTCACTATGGTGGCTAAATTGGTGATATTTGAAAAAAAGGATAACACCCACTCTAAGGGCCCCAGAATCGACCAGACACTTATCCAGAAGGATGTAAGTTGAGCTATGATCACACTCAAATCCTAAGAGTCCGAAAGAGAGTGAGGTTTCAATCGGTGATATTTGAAACTCTAGTTGTTGCATCACCATCCCTCGCAGGGCAGACTCACATACCCCTTTAGCAAGGAGGCTAGTCTCTGCCCCAACTTCACAAATATTGAAATTTAATATTACTTTTCTTTACTAAAGTTTTACCTGAATTTTAGTTTATTACTAAATTTAAACCTTGTATGACTCTAGTCCAACTATAAATATAATACAGTCCAACACTATATAATTCTCCATAATATAATAGAATTCGGATGGGCATGAACAGCCTGGTGCACGAAGGCATCGCTGCAAAGCACCCCATCAGGAATATTTATACTTGGTAACACAACGAAAGCCTGTCAGTGACCCATTTGAAGATATCGAAGAGACTGGTCGACACACATATTCTCACTTTTGTAGCAAATCTTAATCTTTTTGAGTTCTTGGAGTCCTATCATCATAGCATAATCTCTTTCATGTTTCTTGTTTACATTGATTCTTTTTTTATTTTTCAAAACTTAGCTATTGATACAATTATTTATAGACTTTAAACTCTGAATACTCTATTGGTAAAAATCAAACATTCATGAGGATCATGATTGAACTATTGAAGTAATTCTAAAATGTGATCCGCGTTTTGAAACAAAAAACTGAGGAGATTTTAGGCTCTCTGTAGACAACTTTTGCAAATAACTTATACACATAAATTTAACTAGTCTGCAATAAATAATTAGGCTTAATTGGTTACTTATTAATTATAACAAGGTTTATTACAACATTAGTTACAAGCAATTAATTCTTTTATACAGTAAGTGGATTGAAAAGGTGTAAAATGATTCTAGACCAGTTTCTAAGGCGCCCCAGCTTTCAAGTAAGTGAAATTACTCTATGGAAATCAAGACTGTGTTAAGAACATATATGTATATATAAGGATGATGGGTAGAAAGGGAATTACAATATCTGTGGAGGCTTTGATGTGCTTCATAACAGTCCCAGAACTTTGGTGGTCTTTCGGATGATGCCTGTGAAACCTCTGTATGTAACCTGCAGCTTCCATTTTACAGTGAGGAAGCAGAATTAAGAAGACAGCTTATCAACCCTCCGAGGAAGAAGAAAACTGATGAAACGCAACTGTGGATATACTTATTTATATTGTGTAATGGGGAATAATTAATGAATCTTATCGGGAAGGGCATATGTTACTATAATAATGTCTTATGTGAATACATAATGACTAGTAAATTATAAGCTGAAAATGTGTGGTGGGATGGTGCCCTTATCACTTCCCCACCGACAGTGAAGACTTTTTGGAAAGGGATTTGAGTTGTTGAACAATCGACACGCGTCGCAACGATTAACGTTCAAAGATAATGTCCCAATTTTGCCATGTGGGAGTTTATCAGTTTATGTACTGGGTATATATATCATCTCAATCTTCCCTTTTCTCTGGTGTGATGATGACTGGATGCGCATCTTTTTCAGGGTGAAGCTTGGCGTAGAAATTATCAGCTTGTGTGGGTGCGTATATATATACTAGGAAAGTATGGGTGGGCATAAAAACCGAGCTGAAGCGATATTTAAATGGTGTCATGAGTTTTTATCCCGATCTGAAATCGTATCGCTTGAAGCGGGTACGGTAACGATTCTGGATTTTGAGAAACGGTTAATACCGGATTGAGCCGTTCATAATTAATTTTTCCAAAATTATATATTTTTCCCAACCCAATCCCATGCTCAACCCAAATTCAGAAGTGTTGCCCAGTGTCCACTGCGCATAACTTGTGCGAGAGAACAGATTGACGCAGAAACACAGAAACAAAAAAAAACACTGTGCGCAAGAAGCCACAAACTCTTCTTTCGAATTTCAATTGCGCACAATACTAACGCAATCGTCAATTCGTTGTTGTCACTACTCGCTACCTTGGAGTGCTCATCAACAAAGGCGATGCGACGTTGAAACCTCTGGAACACGGCATCGGTCTTCTCCCAGAACATCAACTCAGCTTGGACTAATCTCACTTTGCAATCTTTGCTAGCTTGGACTAGACCCGGACGTGCATCCAACTAGAAGTAGGCTCAATGGTTTCATCTGCTTCAATGGTTTCGTCATCATCTTTCCCAATGGTGCAATCTGAAAATTCAACCCCTCCTTATCCAATGTCTGCCCAGGGGAGCTGTGTAATAACCAAGCAAATAATCAACTTACTAGCGGTGACCAACAGCTTACCAACGGGTCCCGATATCATCCATGAACCACCATCAGGTATACAATGTCTTTTTAGGTCAGATATTTGGAATCATGTTATACCTTATGGGGTTAGACATGTCTTATGAGAAGGATGAGAAAACTCGTAAACTTGTAGAGGTAATAACATGGAAAATGAGGGTAAGTGTAAGTATTGTCCAAAAGGGCAGGGGGATTATGCATGTGACAGTGGTCCTAATGGGCCAGGAGGTCCAAGAAAAAACTTACTCGATAAGCTGTGCAGGTTCTATCCAGGAAATGGTTACTTCAAGACAACGAAAGTTTTAGCTCCGGGAGATTACAATCAGTTAACAAGTAAAGGTTTTGATAAAAAAGAAACCATGATAGCTTGTGTTAAGATGGCAGTTCTTGTTGAGCTGTCGTTCAATTTTGTTGAGAAATAAGGGTTTAGGAGATTTTGCACGAAAGGGATGCCTCTTTTTAAGGTTCCATCTAGAAGAAATCTGGTCAGGACATTCCTAGACATGTATAAAGAAAAGAAAATGAAATTGAAAATAGAATTGAAGTCGCAAAGGATCTCTCTAACCACTGATACATGGACAAGTCTCCAGAACTATAATTATATGGTATTGACTTCCCACTTCATAGATGCGGATTGGAATGTGCAAAAAAGAGTGTTAAACTTTTTGTGTGATTACCAATCATCAAGGTTTAACTATAGCAAATTTTATAGAGCAATGTTCGAATGATTGAGGCATTGAAAAAGTATTGACAGTTACAGTGTACAGTGTTTCTTCTAATAAGGCTGCCTTAAACTTGTTAAGGGAAAAAATTAACAATTGTGATAATCCACAGTCTATTTTGGCGGGGGAGAACATGCATGTGCGATGTGTAACCCATATTGCAAATATAATTGTGGTCAATGGGTTGAAGAAGTTATATTCTAGCATTGAATTTGCTTGAAATGCAGTGAAGTTTGTGAGTTCTCCGATTAGATTTGAGTTTTTCAAGTAAGCGGTTGCAAGAGAGAGATTACTATTTAAGGGGTTTGTGTGCTTAGATAATCTTACAATGTGGAATTCAACATACTTGATGTTAGACTATGCTTCGAATTGAAAGGGCATTCAAAAGAATGGAGCAAGACACGATTGGTGGATACATGGCCTACTTCAATGAACAAGAAGACACAGTTCAAGATGATGACAATGCTATAGTGGCAAAGAATGGGGAGAAGAAGGTTGGGCCACCAACTGATGAAGATTGAGACAAATGTGATGTATTTGTTAGCTTTCCTTCAAAGTTTTCTATGAAGTAACTCCCAGGGTTAGTGCATCACTTCGCCCTACGTACAATCCATAAGACATTGCATGACATAATATCAATAGAACAAGCTATGAACAAGTTAACTATGTCCAGTGTAACGGATGGTACTTCTACAAGTCTTTTAATGGCTGAAGTTGGGGCTTTGATGAAACAAAAGTATAGCAAATACTTTGGCGATTTGAAAACGCTATACCCTTTGTCATTCTTGGTCTTGTGTTGGATCCTAGGTTCAAGCTTCGACATGCAGGTCATGTGTTAAGAACAGTGATGGACTGGACTAAAATTGAATTTTTTGACAAGGAATCTAAGATATAAAAAATCATGTTAACTCTCTATGATAACTATGTTGACAATAAAGTATCAGGGGCTGAATCAGGGCTGCTAAGAATATGAAGAAGGGACTTAGGGATGGCAGTAAAGAAAGGAATACGAAGAGAGAAAAGAACACAATTGTACGTGGTAACTCAAGCACAACATGTTTGTAATGGATTGGACTAAACATGTTGAACAACAAGATGAAGTGGTGATCATACATGAGATAGGCAAATACCTCAAGGATCATTTAGAATCAATGTGAGGAAGATGAAATTGTCATTGATGAAGAAGTGATTGAAGAGGACTATATAATGTTTGATCTTCTAGGTTTGTGGAAATGTGCATCTGTCAATTATCCTATTTTAGCATTAATTGCTAAAGATGTATTTACTGTCCAAGTTTCAACAGTTGCCTTAGAGAGTGCGTTTAGCACTGGTGACCGGTTTGAACTTGCAAGTGTACAAGTGCCGATATAGTAATAAATTCCGGTAAAATACCGGGTCGAATCCACAGGGAAACGTTGTTTAATTTAGTCCGAGAGTAGATGACTTTAAATAAATAAATGAGTAAAGTGCAGGGATTTTGAGTTGTGTGTTGTTATGAAAACAACAACTTGGTTCTTCTTTTTAATTTTCAGAGATATAACTTAAATTAATTTGATTAAAGTGATTGATAACAACAACTAAGGCTTCGGGAATCACTTAAATGCTTTAATAGGGTTGAATATTAGTTCTTTACCAAAAATTATGAATACAATGTCGCTAATATATTCTCAACTCCGGTTATGGCAGCGAGAGCGTGGTTTTCGTTACGTGTAAGTCCCGTTACGGCTTACATTCATCCACCGAAAACCCCATTGAATATCAAGACATCACACCCGTATCATATAATACCGGATATATTTCTATTCTCGGTAATATATATGTTTATCCTTTAATGTTCATAGTTTAGACCTCAACGTTAATTGCAAGCATAAACTAAGTTTTAACATACTTCTATGTTGTACACCATAGTCATAAACAATCAAAATGTAAAGGATAAATCACAATTTATTGGTTTAGAACTTTTATCAAACACCTAGTGGGCATAGAAGTTCATCCCTAGCCTTAGCTAAGAACTTAGCCTCTAATGCCCATATTAATTACAAAAGTGTAACTAAGAACAATGAAATACAATAACATACAAGAAATAATACCTAGAACCAATTGTAGAGGAGAGAAATGGCTTCTTCTCCAACACTTCAAGAAAATGCAAAAAGGAAATATAAAAACTGAAATTTAATCTTCAAGAATGGAATGATGATCTTGTTTGATGAATTGGGGGCTTTATATAGGCTAAAGATTGACATCTTTTAGTCTATTCGAGCCCAACAATCAGGCATGGAAGATATATTTGATCAGATCATGAGGAAGATGAGTTTTTCCCATCAAGATATGGCTGCACGTCTCTTTGTATTCTGCAGATTCGGGCTTAACCGGCGCCGGTTTTAGGCTTGACCGGCGCCGGTTTTACTTCGGGGATGGAATAATAGTGAAAAACACCATAACCGGCGCCGGTTATAGGGTAAAACCGGCGCCGGTTATACGTCGGTCAGCCGGGAAAATGGCAGATTAAATGCAACCGGCGCTGGTTTGGTGAAATTCTGGCGCCGGTTTTGTCCTGGGATTTTGGGGATGTTCCGCTACGAATTTGGACATGATTCCTTCACCAAAGTTGTAGATAATGAAGTCTTCTATCCACCAAAACTTGAATGACGTGATTTTATTCATCCAATCAAACGTTATGGCTAAAACACTGAGAGGTATGCATCCTGAAATCCCACCAGCAACATCTGACTTTGTTGGTTGATTGAGTCTTGTTCCTTTCATATTTTGGCCATGACGTCTTCATAGTCTTCATAACATTTGTACCTTATTGAGTTAGCATTCACATGAAACTCGAATCGAGTGATTTCGAGTTCTATAGAATACGTTATACTCAAATTATGGGCAGAACGTCATTTTCTTGGTCTAAAAAGTCGTTCATCGCAATGTTTTATGCTCTAGCTCTCATTTTGGAGGTATTTGCCCGATTTCTCTTCCTTTCTTCAACAAATACTTATAAATACTTATGTTAAACACAAGTAAATATAACGGCTATCAAATCCCCCCACACTTGAGCATTGCTTGTCCTCAAGCAATTTCTTCACCTTTGGATGTCTTGGTTAGTTTCAACAAAAATATATGAACAAAAATAAATCAATTTTTAAGAGAGATAAAAAATGACATATAAACTCTTT